GATTGTCAATGTATTGAACTTCAAAATTGAATTCCCCATCATCCAAATGGTCCATTGGGGTTAATTAAGCAGAGAAGAATAATGCACATGAGGGCCGCTCATTTTACTATTGTGAGCAAGATATGCCAGGTTGCCAGTTGAGATGGGGTTGTGAGCTGAGAGTCCACAGGGACAGTGACTCCTGCAGCTGTGAGCTCTCACTGTGGTCTACCAGAGGGGACAGCAGAGGGAGGCTACCTGGAAAAGGAGTGCGCGTGTGGGTCTGGCTAAGAGGATGAGTAAATGCACGCCAGCTGTCCTTGATCTTGTGGCTAAGAACCATCTCTGGTGTCCTCAGGACTGTTAAGTGCCACTGGCAAAATCCACAACAAATGTCCTACAAGATATGAGTAAGATATGATGTGCCRTTTTCAAAGTCTCGAGATTTAAGTTAAGAATGCACTGTTAAATTAGACCAAAACACAGGTAGTATTTATCCCTGAAACACACTGAGCTCAGGGATATTTGTATTCTAATTCTAATTGGGGAAAAAATGTAAGTCTTAAAGTCTTCTTGCCATCTGGCGCAGGATTAAAAAATTGGCATAGCGTTTGCTGACATTAAGTCAACTTTGCTTGGCAGGCCCTATCAGAGAATTTATCAACTRCATCCAAATCTGTTTCAATTTTTATCAACTGCATCCAAATCTGTTTCAATTTCCATTTTTAACACTAATGGTTCTAATTGGATCGGTTCACAAAAAGAAGGTTACAAAGCTATTTAGCAATTTCTTAGCAAATTGTCTTCAGCCCGTATATTTGTTACAATATTAAAAGGATAAGTAAACTGGCCTAACAAATCAAAAAGTCTTTAAAACCTGATTTTTAAAAATATGACAGTTTACTTTTACCCTAAGTTGGGCTTGTAAATATCACAAGGTTGTAAAAGTATGATTTTTCAGGTGCCTTCAGTGTGCAGAGTGATTTGCTGTGCTCCACAGGGCTCTCAGAAGAGCCGTACTCCATTGAAGAGAAGCCGGAGTACCCCCAGATAAGAGGGATCAAGGAAAGGCTAGGGAGGTCTGCAGTCTGGGGATGGAGGAAAGTAGCATGATGCCACCTCTTGCTGGGCACAATTCAGGAGCCACTTGTCAAGCAGAAAGGATTTTATTTTTAGAACACACGCACCACAGGAGCTCTTCAGGAATTCCCTCAGAGCCCAACTGCCACCACTGGCATCCAGGGAGCCTCTCAACCCCCACTCCTCCTGCCCTTGAGGCCAATTGGCTGGGTCGTGTGGGCGGAGCCAAAAGAGTCCCCCAATGAGCAGCTGCCTGGTCTGAAAGGGCGAGGAAACAGCCGAATGAGCATCACTGCAGAGGAGCCAATCAGCTGGAAGTTTGCTCGGGCCCCATCAGCTGTGGCTCTCAGCATCATGACTGAGTGCTGAACCCATTGCTTTGGTCCTTGTGACCCCAGGCTGCCTTTAAATTCCCCCTTCATATTGATGTGGTTCCCTTTACCTGCTTCCTAGGTTGTGCTAGAAAATAGAGGTGGGTGGAGGTTGCCTTGAGTCTGTCCCCACAGTGCCCTGATGTCTGGTGCTGACTATCCACAGGGACATATTCAAGAAGTGGGGATGGAGGGAAGCTGCTGAGAAAGTAATCTCTGCCCATAGAAACCAGCCCCACGTGCTGCTGAAGCCTTGTGACCGTCTTGTTTGTGTGATTATTATTGCTCCGGCAAATCAAATTGTCTCACGGAGGCCTCTCTGCTTCTTGTTGTGTGGCTTCCTTCCATAAAGTTGGGTCAAGATCCCAAATGCCAGGCCCTTCCCAGGTGGTGAAGCTGCTGGACTCTATTTTTACACAAAGGATCTGATCTTTGCCGTCAGTGGTTCTGCCGCTAGTCAGGGTTTTAAGGTTTTAACGTGGCTCATTTTCATACCTACCCCTCAGGGTGCTCATGGAGTGTGGCACCCTGTCCACAGCTGTTGAGTTGGGAGCTAGGGCTTCCTACCCTGCTCTCTGCTGCACGACTTTGGGAAGCTTGTTGAATTGCACCTGAGACCTGAGACTGTGAGGGTGTTAAGGTCCTCCTCAGAACGGACCCTGTGGACGCTCTCAGGGAGGATCTGGCCTATTTTTTATTTTTTTCTTCTTTTGTCTCATGGAATTGGGTGTCTCATGGATTGGGTTGGTGACCTTAACCCCCTGGGTCCTGTGCACAGGGTGAGTGCTGGTCTCGGAGCCCAGGTTCCCTGGCAGGCGGGCTTCAGCAGGGCCCTGGCAGACCCTGCAGTCTCTGGCAGTAGGCCCTCGAGAGGGTGCAGCCACCCTGGGAGTGCCTAAGGGGCTTCAGGAAGACTGGAGCAGGAGAAGCCTGCAGGCCACCACTCCCTACCCATTGCTGACCTCTGCTGGGACCAGCAGAGGGAAAAGGTCCCAGCAGAAGTTAGCAACGGGTAGGGAGGAGGAAGCCACCCCCAGGCTGATGGTAGGCCCAGTAGCCACAGTGTCAGTGTCCAAGAGTCTCCTGAAACAGGAGGGTTCCTGCCCTTCCTGCTCCAGAGTGGAAGGTCCTCGCCTAGGCCGTGGACCCTAGGACGGTCTGATGGAGAGTCGCTTCTCAGCTTCAGTTACCTTGATAAAGAAGTCCACTGCACTCTGATAGCCTCCTCAGTTAGTTCCTCGCTTTGAAGGCCTGTGACAAATCCCAGAGGCTGAGTTTCCTCAGGCCAAAAAACTGACTCAAGGATTTTACTAAAGCTTTAAACAGAATTACTTCGGTCAAATTCAGATCTATCTAAGACCATTCATTGTCTTTCCCTTGTCTGTCCTTTCCTCCTCCCTTCCTCTCTCCCTCCCTCCCTCTCTCCCTCCCTCCCTCTCTCTTTCTTTCTTTCTCTCTCTTTTTCTTTCTCTCTTTCTCTGTTTGTCTTTCTCTCTTCCTCTCTTTCTTCCTCTCTCCCTCCCTCTCTCCCTCCCTCTCTTCCTCCCTCCCTCCCTCCCTCCCTCCCTCCCTTCCTTCTTTCCTTTCTTTTTTCTTTCCTTCTCTCTCTCTCTCTCTCTTTCCATTGAACCCAGGGGTGTTTTACCACTGAGCCACATCCCCAGCTCTTTAAAAATTTCTATTATTTTTGAGACAAAGTCCCACTAAGTTGCTTAGAGCCTTACTGAGTTGCTAAGGCTGGCCTTGAACTTGTCAGCCTTGGTGTCACTGGGACTATAGGTGCTCCCCACTGTGCCTGGCACCCCATGGGTGGGTGAAGGCTCAACCATTTCTTTTGTTATTTTTATGTTTAGGGAAATGAACCTCAATCAATCTTTCCCTATTTTTTTCTTAACAAGATAGTATTGGTTCTTTTATTCTTTTATTTATTTATTTTAAGATTGACTATGGCACCTACAGTATTGACATTTGGTAGTTACATTTCACTCCACTTGCTTTGCTGAAGGTGCTGGGGATAGAGGGAGGGGTCCTGTATGTGCAAACAAGTGGCCTACCTTGAGATACTGAGACACACCCCAAGTCCTTTTATACTTTTTTGTGTGTGATGCTGGAAGTTGAGCTCAGGGCCTCTTGAGTTGCATGCCGGGCAAGAACAACACCACTGAGCCACATCCTCAGCCTTTTCTATTGTTTGTTTTGAGACAGGGTCTCTCTCACTTGCCCAGGATGGCCTTGGACTTCATGGCCTTGGACTTGTCATCCTCTGGCCTTGGCCTCCTGGGTAGCAAGATTATAGGTATGACCACCATATAGGTGCCCTTAAAGATGTTTGGAAAACATCCAGGTTCTCACTCAGGGCAGTGAATGAGCTTCCTATGGGAATAATTTCTGTCTTGGATAAGGAATATTAGCAGTGGAGGCATTTAATTGTGAGGAAACAGAACAAAATAAAATAAAAAATAATGAAGATGAACTAACTCCAGCTCAAGAAAGTTTCTAGATCTCAGATGGAGCCAAGTGTTGGTAACAGTGGTTTCCTGCACTAAAGAGTTGAGAGGCCATCATTATTCACAATTAAGTTGTGTTTAACAGAAAGAGCAATTTTGTTCCCTCCGCATCTGAGGACCTTTCCTAGGTGTGTGGGGTTTGACAGGGAAGAGGCAAAACTAGTTGTGAGGTCAGAACAAAGGGCTAATACTCAGTTTTTTCTATCCAAGTGTATTGTCTGTGATGGATACAGAAAGACCTCTGATACCATTTGTAAAGCAAAGTCAGGGCAGTAGATGATTCTGTTCTTCTTTTATATATATATATATATATATATATATATATATATATATATATCATGCTGGGTGTGATGGTGCCTGCCTGGAATCCCACTGACTGAGAGGCTGAGTTAAGAAGATCACAAGTTTGCAACTTAGCAAGACCCTCAGCACTTAATGAGCCCCTCTCAAAATAAAAAATAGAAAAGACTGGGAATGTAGGTCAGTGGCAAAGTACCCCTCAGTTCAAGCCCTAGTAATATGAATGAAAAAAAAAAAAAAAAACAAAAAGAAAAGAAAGAAACTAGCATGCTTTAAACCCAACTCTCCACTTGCCCGCCTCCCTGCATTCATTTCCTGTTGCTCTGTCCTGGGCCTCATAGTGTCACCTGGCGATTGGCTGAAGCCAGGCTGCTTTGTCTTGGTGAGCTCAGGGGTGCTGTGTGAGGAAGCCCCTCGTGTCAGGTCCATGAGCTGGGAGAGTGTGGGGGCTCAGGGGGCTGGGGAAGGAGAGCATGGGTCCCACTCCTGGAGATGAGCTCGCCATGGTGTCGAGTGTCATGGACCATGGGTAGATGAGGGCTCCTGGGCTCAATAGAGCTTGTGTTCAGTATCTGCAGTCCCCACTGTGGCCTCCTGGGACAGAGGCTCAGAGGACAGTGTGTTCTGGGTTGAAACCCACCACAACTGGTAGATACTAGCAGGCAGCTCGGAGGGAAGGACCAGCGTCGCCTAATTGTTTTGCTATTACTGATGCTGATGATGCTGACAATTTAAAAGTAACTAATTGTTTTCCTTCTTTTAGTCACACAGAAAAAATCACCACCTGGCAAGACCCCAGGAAGGCGATGAGTCAGCCCCTGAATCATATGAGCCTCCGCCCTGCCGTCACTTCCACACCAGTGCCTCAGAGTTCCATGGCCGCATCCCAACCAAACCTGGGTAAGCCCCAGCTCCGACTCCTGCCGAGGGGGCTCTGCTGGCTCCAGGCCTCTTTGTGCCTTGTCTGTCTCTTCCCTCCATACTGCCCTTTCCTGCTGCCTGTCCCTCCTTTGTTTGGCCTCTTGGCCACATAGGTTGTGACTCTGCCTTAAGTTTGCACTAGAGTGTCCCTGTTGGGTCCTGTTTCCATTTAGACTAAGGCAGTGTCCCTTCCTGTGAACTGGGATCAGGGACACTGCATGCTATGTCTGACAGCAGGTGGGCCCTCCCAGGCCTTACCTGGTCAGGTCTCAGCATAGCCTCCAAGAGGTAACAGAGTGCCCCTGTGTGGACAAGAGGACCCCCTGTCCTACAGTCTTCGGACTACAGAGCTGAGGGTGGAACCCTGCTCCCTACTGGTGCAGTTATCCATCACCTCATGTGCCCCGTGGGGAGGCTCACCTGTCACGTCAACCACAGTGTTTGGGTGTGTGACCTTTAGCCTCGAGAAGGGAATGGTCTCTGCTCTTTATATCCTGTGCACTGGACACTAGGTCTGAGGAGTGCTCTGGCGGGCAGAAGTAGCCAAGGTTTTGGGTCAATTTTCCCTCCCTTCCTCCTGGGGCTCGAAAATAAAAAAGGGCCCTTAGATTGGTTTTGTAAAAAATGTTCTTAGACATTTCCATTTAAGATTAAATACTCAGATACTGCTTTATCCCTGGAGTAGTTAATGTAGGGGTGAAGAGTACCTCCCGCTGGATTTTCAGGAATGAATTGGATGAAAACGGCAGCGTTATCCCCAGACCCCTTTTTCTCGAGATGCTCAGCCAGTGCATGTGAACTCAAATGGACGCACTCTAGTCCAGAAAGTCTGCACCTTGGTGCTAAAGTGTGCAGGTGTGCTTGTGTCCAAGAGCAGAGGCCTTGGACTCCCCTCTCCATGTGCCTTATGTAAAGGGCAGATCAAGGAAAGTGGCCCAGTCCTGTGAGCAGGGGAAGAGCCACCTCTGCTAGACCCCTCATTTTTCTGAGGTTGGGGATATGGAGATAAGCTTCCCATGACTTATTTGTCCCAAATATGTATGTGCTCATGTAGGAGCATATGCCAGTGTCACAATACATCCCCCGTGCTGTGTGCCGTAGCCACACCTGTAATCCCAGCGACTGGGGCAGGGGCTGAAGCAGGAGGCTCACCCATTCAAAGCTAGTCTCAGCAATTTAGTGGGACCCTGTCTCAGAATGAAAACTAAAACAGCCATGGGTGTAGCTTTGTGGTAAAGCACCCCTGGATTCAATCCCCTGTAAAATATCTATCTGTCTATCTATCTATCACCAAGTAAATGAGTTTCCTAATTCCATCAGTCTTCAGCTTTCATTAAATATTCTAAAAATTGATTCTTAAAGTTTTGACATCTTTCTCTAGTGCTGGGGTTTGAACTGGGCTTGTGTGTGCTCTAGCACTGCAGTGCATTCCCTGTCCTAGGTCTTACTTTATTATCTCTTATAATTGAAAAAAATATCTCATGGGCATGGTAAAAGACATTCCAACACTTCAAAGAAGTGTTCAAAAAGTAGGTCTCCCTGCAATCCCTGTCACCTCTGCCCGCCAGTTCCTCAGCATGCACTGTTTTTGTGTGTGTTCACACCGTGCTGTTTACGTGTTCACACTGAGCTGGTGTCTCATGTTCTACACTGTGTCTTGTCTTTCCACTTCTAGACTCATACATTTAGGGTTGCCTCCTCCTTGTTAAAAATTGCCTCATAGTCCAACATATGGATATGCTGCAATTAATATCCTTGACTAGCTCTGATCTAACGCACACTTAGGTTACCAGTAATCATTATGCTTGGTCATACTCTGCTCTATGCACTCACCTTAATCTTAAAAACTGTATGATAAACTGGATGTAGTTGCATGTGCTTATGGTCAGTTCCAGAGACTTGGGAGGCTGAGGCAGGGGGATCACAAATTTGAGGCCAGCCTGGGCAACTTACCAGAGACCATCTTAAAATAAAAATGAAAAAGACTAGGGATGTAGCTCAGTGGTAGAGTGTCTCTGGGCTCAATCCCTATACTGCAAAACACATAAAAAACACCACCAACAAAAGACCCATAGGCAAACTAGTGAAGTGTCCCTAAAGAAGTTGTATCTGAACATTCTGAAACATATTTACCTGCGGCTGAGTGAAATACCTTACTTTACAGATTTCTAAGAAATTAGGGCAATAAGTTTCTTAAAACATGCAGTCTTGGGTTTTCCCAACGACATTGGAGTATAACATTGCCCATTTATAGAGTTAGTCTGTGGAGAGTCACAAATGTGTTCCAGTGAGGGAAACATAATCAGGAACATCAAGCAGGTTCCAAAGACCAGGAGAAGAGTTAGAGTCACAATGTCGTCCCAATAGCAAATGATTTAGTCAGGACACTGCGTTCCAAGTTAAAAGCTCTGCCTGTGATTCATACTCACTATTATCATTCTTTAAAAATGACAAGATCAGGCCAGGTGTGATAGCACATGCCTATAATCCCTGCTGCTCAAGAGGCTGAGGCAGGAGGATCCCAAGTGCGAATCCAGTCTGGACAGCTTAGTGAGACCCTATTTCAAAATTTAAAAAGTGAAAGATGAACAGACTTGGTTGTAGCTCCAAGGTAGAGCACTCTGGGCTCAAGCCCCAGCATCGGAAAAAAATCAGATTCTTTTCCTCCTCCTTATTCTTTAATTTAGAACTTTGATACTTTTCAATGGAATGTAAGTGAACTTAAGTGATATGTCCCTTTTAATGTCTCCATAATGACACACACACACACACACACACACACACATATATATATATATATATGAAAATGATGTCAAAGTAAAGTTAATAGCATTGCTCTCAGGTGACAGAATTAGTACCTTTTTTATAGCTAACTTTATTATTTCTAGAGCTGTGATATAATTTGTAACATATATATTATAAATAAATCTCTTTTTATTGAAGCCTCTCATTTTTGGGGAGGGGAGTACTAAGAATTTAACATAGGGGCAATTTGCCACTGAGCCACATCCCAGCCCTTTTTAATGCTTTTCCTGAGACAGGATCTCACTTAGTTGCTTAGGGCCTTACTAAGGTATTGAGGCAGGTCTTAAACTTGTAGTCCTCCTGTCTCAGCCTCCTGAGTTGCTGGGATCACAGGTGTGGCCACCACCTCTGCTAGACCCCTCATTTTTCCGTAGGTTGGGGATATGGAGATAAGAGTCAGACTGTCCAAAAATGTGTCTTGGCTCTGCTAGTCACCAGCCTATGACCCTRTGAGGTCACAGAGTCGTACCTCAGTCTTCCCACATGTAGATTGAGGATTATTAATATGTAAGGAAATTATGAGTTTATATCTGTAAAATGCTTAGAATTGTATGTGACACATAGTAAGCTAAAATAAGTACATTTTGTGTTTGTTTTGTGGTACTGGGGATGGAACCCAAGGGTGCATCTTTACCACTGGGCCTCAGCCTACTTTTTTCCAGTTTTTATTTTTAGGCAGGGTCTCACTAAGTTGCCCAGGTTATCCTCAAACTTGTGATCCTCCTGCCTCAGCTTCCCAAATAGCTTGGATGACAAGCTTGTGTCACCACATGTGGCTAAATGAGGTGTTTATTCTTATTATCATCACTCTTTTTGGAAAGAATAGCTTTATTTTATGTTTTAGTTAACCATGGAATGTATATTTTCAGAGAATTTTGTTGTTCATTATAAAGGCTTTCAAGAAAAATATTTATTTTGGACTGGGGAGACTGCAAAGTGCTCTGAGGAACACTCTGGTTACTTTCAGTGAGGATAGCGCCCTCTGGCGAGTAAACTCTCCCTCCCGCAAGAAGCTCCGTATCCTGGGCATCTTCCTAAGGGCTTTCCTCGTGTCCCTGAAGAGTGGACTATAAATCCAGTGTGTCTTCTGTCCTAGGATTTTGTAAGAATAGACTGGCAGATTTGCTATGTGGTTGGATTCACTGAACTTTCAGATATCCAGGTGAAAATAAAATAGGCTCTAAAGGGGATAATAATAGTAGTAGTAGTAGTAGTAGTAGTAGTAGTAGTAGTATAGTAGTAGTTGTTTTTTCCCCCACTTTCCTTCACATAGTCACTTCAGCTTGGTGTGGTTTCTAACTGAAATGTTAGTTTTTCTGCTTGCTGAATCGGGTAACTATAAAGTTTGATTTTGTCTGAGTAGACCAGTGACCTTTAAGTCTGAATCCCCAGATGTTGCCTAGGAATGAAAGACAGAAAGACCTTGGGGGACTTCAGACTGTACAGAAGAGAGGACACATTTGGGAGTCCATGGGAAGCTAGTGCGTCCAGAGTGCTTACTTTTAAGTAAGTGACACAGCAAAAGGGCAGAATTCTGGGTATGTGCAAATGTGAAAGGTGACTCTTTTTATCCAGAACACAAACCAGAAAGAATTTCAAGTAGGCTCTTTACCTTAATTACTATTGATTACTATTAATTACTATTACTGTTATTACTATTAATATCCCTATTAATTTTTAAAGGAAGAAAAAAAATGAAATGAGGGGAAGAGAAAGGACTGTCTACCCTGTTATGACCTGTGGATCAAGGGCCTGGAGAAAGTGGAGCCCACTCCTGAACTTGGTCCTTTATTAGGGTGTGTAGGGACCTGGGAGTTGGGTGGAGGGCAGGGGTCTCCTTCATAAGTGGAGTCTCCTTCATAAGCACTTGGAGTCAGAACTCAGTTTCTCTTGGGTTAGATACTTATTACTTGGATTTGTTATTTACCTAATCTGAGGCTCATTTTCCTTGTCTATAAAGTAATGACAGTGGTACCTACCTGATAAAGTTGATAGCAGTAAGGAGGTTCCTGGCCTGGCCTATAGCAAGCGCCCAGAGATGTGTTCTTGCAACCCTTCCTGTGAGCTGGTGGCAGACTTCCCTGTGTTCTAAGGGAGAGCCTCTGCGGTGCTCAGTTAGAAGGCAGTGGGGCTGCTGCTCCCTCAGGAAGACCCAGCCGCAGCAACGTCAATTT